CGAGATCTGACGAATATTGAGGCAAAGGTGAGCCGATGCCGAAAAGCCCACGTCAAAGCAGATCAAAAATTAAGTTTATATTGACAGTTTTCTTCGATAATCACCGTGTGGTGATTTTTGTACCACGTTAATGCACAGTCGCATGCAAAATAGATTTTTTGTGATTTTTTCACCAAATTTTCAAGCAATATTGTGCAGCAACCACCGTATTCGCCTGACTTAGCTCAATGTGACTTCTGGCTACTTCTGGAGTGACTACGAAACTTATGTTATAATTTGGTACTGTAAAATTTATTTCAAATAATTTTTATGCCGACATATAATAACAACCCCCTTGAAGCAGGCTTTACCAGTCAATAAATAAAATTTTAATAATTTTTATAAGTTTTTCAAGACATATTTATTTAATTTGTTATTAAACAGATTTTAAGAAATATTTACCTTTTTTATTTTTTTAGATCATATTGTTTGATTTTAAATTTAATGTTTTTATTTGTTAATCATTTTGAGAGTCTTTCTTGCCGGCCAGCTTATAAAAATTTAAATGAAGTATAGGCGATTAACATCAGATTAAACTGTGTGAGACTTAGAAATAAAATGAGAAAATTTTGTAAAAATGGGATTTAATTATCAACATAACCTCCTCTTGGCGTCTGTATCCTGAAAGTTAGCCAAATGTAAAGAAAATGGTTAGTGGGGCAGTGATTCGTACCATAAACGACCAATTTGATCTTCGCGGGGTGTCAGTCGACACGTTGTACACTATGCATCGTAAAATGAGGCCGTTTTTTCTGCATTCGACTGCGAATGTCCAATAGGTCTGGACATTTGAGACTTGTTACCATTTTGTATAATTAGAATTTATAAATAAAACGAAAATTTTTCAATCATCATCCAAATTTATTTTAAAGCCTTCAAAGTAACATTGTGCCAACGCTTCTTCCAATCATCAAAACATTTATTATAAGCACTTTCCGGGATGGCCTTCAGCTCTCGCGTCGAATTTGTTTTAATGTCTTCAATTGAGTCAAAACGGTGTCTTCGTAGTTCCTGAATAGCCACAAGTGACACGAAGGTAAATCAGGTGAATACTGTTCTTGATCAATGATATTTGTTAAGTGTTTGACCAAAATTTAACACAAATACGTTAAAAAATGTTGTAAAATTCGGCAAACACTACTGTGGTCGACTGACATAAACAGCTGCTGTAAACACACTGGTTGACAAATCGCGCTAATTTTTGGCATCAAAATTAAGGACAGTTGTACCAGCCTAGGAAAAAAATTTACCTGTCTTCCATATCAAAAGAAGAATAAAATAAAAAAATAAAAAACTTTTTTTATTTCACGAAATTCAGCTTGTGATAATGTCCGAGGCAGCACTCAAATCTCCGAACAAAATGTTGAGATCGGATCACTATAGCATAAAGCATTCACACTGATCGATCAAAGAAGCGCATGTAAAGTGTTTTATTCTTGCTTTAAATTGAACAAATGTGTTTAAAGTTATGTGTTCATTTTTTAACGCTTACACTACTCTATAGCATTTGATATTCATTTCCATTTTAGAAACAAGTTTTTTAAAGAAAACAGCTTATAAATTCCTAGTAGTAATCTGTTGTTGACAGCTTGCTAATTAAGTGATGTGTGTAAACTAGTACAATTAGCATACAAGTACTAACTGTTAAAGCAAAACATTTTCATTATGGCATAACATATTATTGGCACCACAAGCATCTAGAGACGATTTTCCATGTATATACTTGTATGTATTCACATAAGTAAGAATAAATAAAAATCTTGATTGCTTAATACATACCTAATTTATAATAAGTAAATATTTATTTACATATGTATTTACAACGCATGTTTGCATTTGGCGTGCGACTTAATAGCTTACTTTCTATCTCCCGGCATCTATCTATAAAATGATACAAAATACTTGTACACATGCCTACATATTATATATAATATATGTACATATATTTTATTATTCTTCTTTGCCAATCGCAAATAAATCATAATTCTTTATCTGCCAAAGCAGTCAAGTCAAGCCGGGTAGCGGCGAAGCAACGTGTGATTCATGTCTAGCTGTCATTACTGACACCTCATTAAATATGCGCATACATATATGTATAAAGTGTGTTTATATTTATCTAGCCAGTTGCTAAAACGGTTGTCTGATTTTTAATTTGCGGTATCAATAATGAACAGCATAGCGAAAGCGAGTCTTAGGTCAGTAATACCAAAAATTTTCGAATTCTTGTTTTCTGTAATATTGTTTGGTATTTTTCCACCCGGCTCTTTCCGGTTTGGCGTAAGTTCTCGACTGCTGTAATTTTCCTTTCCGTTTAAACAAGTTTTGGTTAAGCCTTTTCAAATAACCGGTAAACATTTTATGGATTCAATAAAATTCTAGGATTTTTAATTAGTTTATTGCTTTGACACTTAAGTGAGACAGCATTTATGGTAGATATGCCAATATATTGTTTGTAAATATGTTTCAGACAATGAATATTACAGTGGTTTGAACTAAAACTTTTCGAATTCTTCGTTCGATTACGAATTTGCATAAATTAAAGCTTTGCTTTTTTAATTTCTTTGCTTCTCATTAAATTGTGGGGAACTTCTGCTTTTAACACATACATTTTCCAATTTTGAAGTGAAATACATATATCCAGAACGTTTATTTTTATATTTTAGTGCCTCATTAAGATATTGGCACTTCGTACCAATTAACTTTGCCTCTTTTACTTTTCGTTTTGTTAAACACAAATTCTTTTCTACATTTCCTTTTGTCCATTTCTCAGAAATAAACTTTGAAACCGCGCTATGTCCAAGCATGCCACGCTATCTTCAGCTGTCCTTTGATTTTGCCTCCACACATTGTTTTTTATGTCGCTTTTAACTACAGTGAAACTTCGATAACTCGTATTTGCAAGGGACCACAATTTAAATACGAGTTATGGAGTTTTTCAAGTTATCAAGTTATACAACTTATAGAGGCAACATACAGAATATACGAATTATAGAATTTTTTTTATTTATTTTTTAAATTTTACATAAAAAACAAGAAATGATGTTAAAAAACGTTCTATGTTTTCGTCACGTACGGTTTTTTGTGAAAAAAATACGAGTTGAAGAGGCTTTAGATACACATTTTTCGCGAATTTTTCTAGGGACCGAAGAAATACTATGAAATATTAAGGTTTTCGCTTATCGAGGTTACGACTTATCGAAGTTTCACTGTATATCCATTAAAAAAGCTGCGGTTGTTCATAGAAAATAGTACGTAGTCGCATCTTCAATATGCAAACATTCAAATAAATTTCTATGTGATCCTATATACACATATGTATGTATGTATGTGTATATATGTATGTGAATATACGAGTATATACAACATAGAAAGGCACGTAAGTAGAACATTTCTGATTGTTGGTTCAGTTTGTCTTGCGTTGAGTTTGGTAACAAACACAAATAAGCCGTTATTAATTTCCCAGACCTTGTTAAGTAGGTAATCGAATAAACAACTCGTAAAAATTACACAAACTTACATTGTTACAAAAGTAGCGGCCGGAAATTTCCCGAGTAAATGATAAATCGTTAAGAAAGTGTGGAAGAGATGGCAAGAGAGCTCTACATCTAAGTAGAGTCGAAAGTCCGTTCGAATGATTTTGATGGATATTTTGGGTTTGAAACGCGTTCTTACTCCACTTGTCCAGACAGGTCTCTTTGGACATGCTTGATCGACAAAATAAATATTGATGAATAATTAAATATTTCAGGGTACAAAATGTACATGTTATAAATCTCATAGACTGGAACAATCAAGGGGAGGATGGAGTCACACATGATGGAGTGTGTGGAGGATGGAGTCATGTGTAGAAGTTCACGCAAGTGAGGAAAGTTCTCTGATCGCCATTCACTTGGGACTGGCCAGAAACGATTCTTTTACATATGACTCAAGCAGCTCACGACTTCCGGTCCTTGACCAAGTATCCTCTGGGTAGCCTAAGAACATCCGTTTGAAGGCGAGCTAAAGTGAGAAGGTGAAACATTCCCTGCATAGGGTTGTGTGCTGGGTTTGGGACCCGCCACGTAAAAAAACCAACCCAATGAAAACGCAACAACAGCCTCGGATGAGAGACCCCACTTTTAATCGCGGTTGTTAACTCGGCTATAATCGCGTAAACGGTGACAACGCCAATCAAGAAGAAGAAGGATCAATCAAGTAGAAACTAAGCATACAGAGAACTGGTATAAATCTTATAGACTGGCATGAATGGAACCAGCACCTATACATAGACATGTATAATCAAGTAGATGGCTGTCATAATCAAGTAGTATTGTATCGAACACAAAACTAGTATAAGTCTGAAAGACGGGTACAATTAAATAGAATTTAATCATAGAAACAATTTTAAAATCTCATTAACTATCACGATGAAGTAGTAAAACCAATAATTGCATATATTTGCCTATTACAAGACACCGTGTTCAATTATGCGAACAAATTAATCCTCTTCTTTTTTATTGTCGTGGACATCGCTTACGCGATTATAGCCGCGTCAAACGTTCTCCCTTTTCGCTGTTTGGTGTATCCATTCGGATGATATGGCCTACTCAACGTAGCCGCTGTCTCTTAATTCGCTAAAACTATCTTAATGTCGTCGTATATCTCGTACAGCTCTTCGTTCCATTTCTGCAGAACTCGCCGTTGACAATGCGCAAAGGAGCATAAATCTTCCACAGAACCTTTCTCTTGAAAACTAATAACGCCGAGTCATCAGATGTTGACGCAGGTTGTGGGGTCACCATTTTTGTGGACACACTTAAATTCCAATCAACGGGTATGCTTTCATCCGACTATATGCTAAAAAGAAGTTGATGCAAGCTCCTTACCAGTTCTTCGCCGCCATTCATAATACATGAGCGTACTGACTGGATACGGTAGAGGGCGTTCGTAGCTAACGAATGAGCGGCTGGTCAGCCGTGGTTCGAGCCGAAAATGCAGAGTTCGTTCTCGGTAAAACTGCGACAGAGACGTTAATATGATAAAACAGGCTTACCTAGATATTGCTTTCGGTGGCACTAGGCGTTTTTGGAGAGCCGGGAAGAGGTCGCTGATGAAGACTGGAAGAATGAGCACATCTGAAGTGAAACGATGTTCATTGTCTTTTTTGACATCGTCCACCATAAATTTCTTATTCCTGGACAAACCTTCAACGCCAAATTTTACGTGGAAGTCGTAAAGAGACTCAAAGGAAGGGTCAATCGGTTCCGCGCGGACCGGTTTTACAGCCATTTCGAAGTTGCTCCACTCACTCCGCCTTTCCTGTGAAGAGCTACCTAACCAATGCCGGCATCTCAATGCTTCCACAGCCGCCCTATAGCCCAGATGTGGCCCCAGGACTTTTTTGTTTATTTGCCTGAAAAGGCCGATGAAATGCAAGCACTTTGAGACAACAGAGAGGATCCAAGCAGCATGCTTTTCGGCTCTCATGGTTATACCGAAGAATGCCATCCGGGAGGCCGTCAATGCTTGGAAATAGTGCTGGCAGCGTTGCAGCAACGCAGAGCAGGAGCCTATTTTCAAAGTTTTTAAAGAATTGTAACGATTGGTTCAATAAATTTTTTTAAATTGACTCAGTCCTATTATTTTCCCGACAAAGCCCGTACCTTACATATGTACATATATTACAAATTTTATTTCGCTAAACTCTATCTCTCATATCTTAATATAATACATTACAGATAAAGCTAACGCTGAGTAATTCTTTGAAATATTGTTAAGGCTTAGGACAAATTGTAAAATACTCCGAAAGCAAAAGAATTACAAAGCAATCGATTATAGTATATAAAAATACTAGTGGATCCGGCCACGCTCTGCTGTGGTATACATTTTATACCATTATTCATATCATAAGCTATTCAATAAAGTGAAAATTTTATTTACGAATAAAGGAGAAAACGTTTTTGTCGGTATAAGAATCCGAGAGATTGTACTTGAGATTTAATTTTGAATAACTTCATACAAATATATTTCATTGGAAAAAATAACGAATTTAAAGCTGCTTTCTCAGTGCCCGGTTACTAGCCTTTCTGTCCAGTTAATGGGGTTGTCCGTTTAATAGAGCTTTCACTGTATTTTTTTATTTATGAATGTGTTTTTACTATTCTATCTTCTAATTTGGTTCGAACTGGACCAGTGTGCTAAATTTTATTAAAATCGGTTCCATCGTGGACAAACAAAGTGACACGTGATTTTTATATATAAAGATCTGCCTTTATTTGTTTAGTTTTTGAATTTTATTTATCTTATTTTAAATTTTAAACGCACTTTTTCATTATTTTTTATAATTTTTTTATGTTTTTGTTATAGTTTTTTAGTTTATTATTATTTTCATTGATTTTTTGTTTTTTTGATGTTTTTTTTTTTAATTTCAAATTTCATCAATTAAAGTACGTATTTCACCAAAATTCACTCAAACCGGTTTTTGGATGTGACGCTAAAAGAAATATTACTTTTCCTACGAAAAATGTTAGCTCTGATAGGCATAAACAAATGTGTATTAATGAGTGTGTGATAAATAGTACAGAAAATATTTTTTACGCATATACTGAAGCATGAAACTGTTAATAATATGCAAACATCAACATTTCGCAGACATTAATTAACAAGGATTCAGAAATATAGAAAAAAATTGTTAAAAAATAAAATTAATATTAATACGCAAAGCGAAGTGAATGACTTACAGAAATTTGTTATAAAAATTGAGCATGGAAAATAAATTGATTATGCAAAAGAGATAATAAAATGTTTCGCCAAAATGAAGCAATTGCGGAAAGTTAAAAATTTCCGAGTCATTTTAACATACTTATGTACGTATTTTAACATAATATAGGAATGTTAATATATTTAACAGTTTATTGGAGGTATTGAATGTACCGTCAAACGGTGTGTAATTAAATAATTAGAAGTCACTTGATATATGCCTATGTAATAATTACATAACTGTTATTACTTATATATATATTTATAATTAATAACTGCATATAATATATTGTATGAATTAATTTTCTCATGAGGTAAAATGCTTTATTAGAACATTAAATTATTTTCTTATTAGCCAAGTATGTTTAAGTTCACACATGCAAATTAGTAATTATTCATTATTAAGTACGAAGTGTATACTCGATACTGCATCTACTGTTATATAATATTTAATTGCTGCGCGAGAAATTGAGCGTAACGGAGTTAAGCTTTGACTTTAGTTGTAAGTGAAGGTGTGTCGATACATAATTATGTAACATCAGCTGCTAATTGCGCATTGTCTACTATACACATATACATCTGAACGTGTAAGTAGTTATTAAACACCGCTTAAAATCTAACATTACTATTTACACAGCTGTAATGGAGTCACAATAATTATTGCGAATTATTGCACAGTTAAAAGCTGTGCAATCAGAATATGTGAAGCTAGATATTAAAAGGCGCACGATACAATATAGACACTTTAATCCTAAATAAACGTGAGTATTGAAAATTATATACCACTTTAATTAATATATAACGCAACATTTTAATGTTTTGCTTGAAACCGCTTCCAAAACACAGAAAAAGATTTGTTCCGTCGAGTAATCGCTGTTATAAGAAAAAATATATTGTAGAGTTGCCTTTGGTTGATCTAATCGCCTACCAAATCAAAATCACATACATACACTTAGGAATTTTTTTAATTGTAATTTTAATTTTTTATCGTTATAGGCGTCTCTGAGTTCCGGAAATAGGAATATTTGCAATGAGAGCTTAAGAGTGCTAACATATTTTATTTACTTCAAAATAAGCATAATTATTGAAAAATAGGCTTACACGGAAATTACCTGTTTTAATTGTTAAGATATAAAACAATTAGAGCGTTAATATTATTTCTCCAGCAAACTTAAAAGCGAAATTAGGTCAGTAAACTTTTATCGTCACACATTCATCCAAAAATCACAAAACATGTATGGCAGCCAATATGCTATAGTTATCCAATCTGAACAATTTCTTCAGACATGCCGAATTTTGTGAAGACATCTCGTCAAATGAACAAGTTTCAAAGCAAATACTGAATTCTGATCGTTAGTTTGTATGGCGGCTATATACTATAGGGATCCGATATAGGCGGATCCGGCAAGTGAGCTTTTCGGAGAGAAAATGGCATGTGCAAAATTTCATATCGATATCTCAAAAACTGAAGAACAAGTTCGCGTATATACAGTCATAAAAACGGAGAATCTTCTAAATTTCCTTCTTGATAAACTTCCGGGTATAAGGATCAAGGAATCGCAGGCGATGACTTCATTAAATACATTATGTTACATAATCTAACCTTACCTTAATATATTATATATTTAAGTATAATATAAATATTTAAATCAATTTATTTCTGATTAAAAGTTGTTCACAATAGGGTATTAAAATAAATGCTGCATATCGGTTCGATCAATACTTTTGAAGATCGAAAGCAATTGATTTTTCACTTCACACATATTCTGTGTTTCAATTCGATTTAGAAAGTAAAATTATTACGTCATTAGACCTTTCAGTGCCGAAAAGTGTACTTTTGAAGCAAAAAATGTTTCTCAATAATAAAGTAAAACCAAAGCTCAATTCTGTTACGATAGGCGATGTTTGCTGACTTCCAATAAAATCAAATATAATTACCTAATAAAAATATATGCAAATAAGCGTGTTTAATACCTTTCAAATTGACTATTTTTTATTATGTCGAGAATCAGAAATCGTGGCAATTATTTTCCCTATAGCATATGTATTTTTATGCATTTTTAATAACTTCAACGAAAATTCTTATTCGATATGAGTTACACAAATAATACAAAACAATTTATGTGTGAAAATATTAAAGTTTGTAAACAGCAGAGAAAGAAAAGAAAAAAAGATACATTTATTTTTTAGTTCCATTATTATATTTTATGTTTAAAAACTGCATACTTAATTAGACAGTAACCATTATTTGTTACGATTTAATTATTTTTTATATACTTATATTGCAATCTTAATACTTTTCTGGAGACACTTACTTTCTCAATCAAAGCTCTTTTCAATATACCCGTTCCAATCGGTATCTTAAAACGTAATTTCTTGCAGCTTCCCACACAATAACGTAGCCGGTTTGAATTTCAACAATTGTTGCTTAGCACTTACTTATATATTTTAAATGTATTTATTTGTGATTTCAAATACACAAAATTTTTTGCCACATTTTATCGGTACATTGCACGCCAAAACAAATTTTAATGGTTCTTTCTAAAGCAAAAAGCTAAATTATACGATTTTTATGCATCAAAGGCTTTGAACTTTAAGCTTTTAAAAGCAATTGTTTTCGCTAATACAGATATTTTTTGTTTAAATTTTTAATGCAAATATTTATTACAAATCACACTGTTTGAATTTTAATTAGAAGTAAGGTTTCGGCCTTCATATTTTTACACATTTCATATAGTTGTTAATTGATTTTCTTGTTCGACAAGTGATTTGTGTGACGATAATAAGCGATAAATTTATTTTTATTGTGTGGCAATTTTTAGCGCTGTCTTTTACTGAAGATATTTCTTATTTTTGGTTTCTTTATTTAAAAAAAACACCTTTTTACATGTATCAATTATTTTTATAAACAGTTGTTGCTTACAATTTATAATGTGTTTTAAAAACTGTTCTCAACTGTAAATCGAATGCAATTCAAAGCTGTTTCTTTGCTTATTTATTTTCATTTTTAGCATACATAAGTTACGCACATGTTTTGTGCATGTTTATTATTTTCCGTTAATATCACAATTTTTATTTCATATGTATTTTTATTATTTGCTGTCGATAATTACATTTTTATAATGATGTTTATTTTTTATCCGTGTTTTTAGTCTATAATAATAATTATTTTTTTATTAGCTCAAGATCGCTTTCGGTGTGCACTTTGCTTCCAAAATCTCATTAATTTAATACGTTTAATTTAGAATTAGATAAACAAATTTGCAATTCGAAAAAAAACTAACGGCAAAGTATCGCATATACATTTGTATTTTTCTTAAATCACTCCAATTTTTAATTATTCATTATTTTAATTTGTATTTTTTTTTTATTTACGCTTTATAAACTCTCCTTTATGGCAGTAACAAAAAGCAAAATTTAAAGGAGTCGTTTATTGCAACTCGCTTGATACTATTGTTTTATTCCCTTGCTTGCGCGTCTTCATCCGCTCCACTGTGAAGCACAATTGCGAATGAATTCGTTCGAAGTTGGAGCTCGCCGCCAAAAGTCGGTGTGCCAGACCACTACAGCCAGCAATAACATGCGGTTGCGTCGCGACGAGCATTGCCGGTGCCGTTGCTGTTTTTTTTCTGCTTTTGCATATGTTATTGTTTGTAGTTGTTTCGCGCAGAAAACAGTGGTCATTGGAGAGTTTGGGGTTGTCAGCAGCAACAATACTTGCTACATAAACAGCGGCAACAGTTGTTCTGTTTTTGTTTGTTATT